AATAAATTGAAGAGGAAAAACACCGTCGAAGTACAACCAAGTCGAATGTTTAAATCTTATCAACAGATGTACATAATCGTTGAATCCGTCCATCAACTGACTATTTGTTAAATACTTTACTTACGCATTTGTGATCGTTGCAATATCGAACTATTTTTTTGATTGAATTAAATGATATTGAATAGGTCTCCGTATTTACCCGCCATTTCGTATTGAAGAAGATATTCCATAGAATATGATTCGCACATGACGAGTACAAATAATGCCAATTAATACAGGACTCCGTGACTAAAGAAAAAAAATAAACCTGACTTCCTTGGTAGGCTCGACTGTACAAGCCTTAGAGTAAGCCTGCTCGATCAGCTACAGTCGGGCACACCCGCCCGGATGCTCATTGGCGCATTGCCCACTTCCTTCGTCGCCACGACGCTAACTGCCACCCTGTGAAGTTCGGGCGAGCTATAAATGACTTTACATTCCTACCAGTGACGGGTTAAAGGCCGTGCGTGATAAAAATCAGTCATTATTTCGGCGGAGTGTCAAACTGCAGACAGGTTAGATTCGAAAATTGTTCAAGTCGAAATTACCGTCTTCAAATCGTTCAATCCAGTAAGTCCTGATCGATCTCACTGTCTCCATGTACCGCCCCCACGCCATTCTCTCACCTCTCTCTCTCTATCCGTCTCCCCTCTCTCTGTTACTCTCTTGCGCACACCTTGTAGTTTTCCCGGAATTTATCGATTTCGCATGGATGAAATGGAGAATTGAAGATTCCTAGAACTACTGCTGATCGATAATCTTTTAAAGTGCAATCCAGGAGTAACTGCCGAGAATAATTTGGATCATTGTTGTTTCTGTTCGAATTGATTATTCAAGGAAGTCACCGGGTATATATTAATGGAACCCTTCTTTTATTGTGTTGTTTTATTTTTGTAATTACTATTTTATATTTGCGATGTAATTTTGGGGGAACAGCGAATTATCCTCCCGTTATGCCGGTCCACTGACACTAACAAGGCCCAAACCAAAATCGAAAATATAATTGTTCGACGCCAGGTCATTGAACAGAATGACCACTGTAAGGAAATCCTTCTCCACTCGCAGCTCCAATAACTCCAGCAGTTCGATATGTAAAGATTTAAATGTTATTAGAAGCTGAGCAGGGAATACGATTGGGATATGAAAATATAACAAAAATAAATTCATACATTTATTTTATCCCCCCCCCCCCGGAAATTTATATTGAATTACATCCAATCCGATAGTTTTTGCCCGCCTGATCACGGATCCGACAACCGTATGTTGGGGAGACAAATAGTTTCCTCCATACGTTGAAATTTGTATACCGCTCCTTTCGTTATCCAGGGTTACGTGAGGACGTGGCGATGGTAAGGAGCCCGTCACTTCAAGTCCAAAATTCGGTTTATTATTTCTTGGTGGACCTGTTGCAGACGTTTACCAAATAATGATCACCGAAATCCCCTTTAAAGGGATTATACGTTACTCACGAATATTACAGTTAAAATTTACACGAGAGTCACTGTTTTTTAGTTAAGCAAAATATCAATGTTTTGCGGTCCAATATTTTATAACATAAATGAATAAATGAAATTGTCATAAACACCTAAATCACGAGACTCAATTATTACAATTCACGAAAAGTTAAAATTAATCAGAAAAAGTTAATTTTTCACGAAAATACCCAGAATAAAATTCAATGACTTGAAACTGCTCTACCGCAAAAAAAGTTAAGTCTACGTGATCTTACAACTCTACTAATGAAAACAGAATAGATACAAATTGAAGACATAATTTCGAGGTCACGGAATCCTCAATATAAAATTCAATGGCGCGGAATTCTTATTCACGACATCAACCAAATTCGGAAAGTCACGAAACACAAACAATGCGAAACCAAATAAATACAATGAAATAAATATGAATTTATCCAATGAACAGGATAATAATAAATTATTCAAAATGAACGTGAGATCCAAAATTCATAGATCGAAATCGATTATTTAATACGAATTTTAATTGACACGAAACGGTCGAAGAGCAGTAACCGGTAAAATACCACGTTACAATTTATAATTGATAATCCTGTTCCCAATTAAGATTCGTTTTTTGAAACCCCATTCGAGATTCCCGAGGTTCCACATCAGGGCAATTCGGAAATCTTCGACAATTATCGAGGCTTGAGTGAACAGTCAGCTGCCCAAAATTCTAAAAAATCACGACACTTGATAGTATCACCTGTTTCAACGTCTTGCGATGTAGAGCCTTTAAAAGGATCTTATCCAGTACTAGGTCATCAATTTCGCTGGATACTCCAGCAGTGGTGGCATCGGGCTCACGCGGCTCTCGAGGTACCTTAGTGAGAGCTGGGAGAGTGGCCTCGTCCACTTGAAGGACCTACCTTCTCTAATTCGATTTTTCTCTCTCCTTAAGGCCTGGTTCGACCGATACCGGTAAAGAACGACTGTGCGATCGAGCAGCAATTTTCAAGTTTTCAGAAATTTGAGTTATAAATATCAATTGTTCACTCAATATTGGGCAAATAATTTTTCTTCATGTTTTCATAATGAGAAGTCACTCTTGACAATTATTTTGTGTTTAGATGATATTTCCCGGAATCTACAAAATAAAATACAATATTTGTCGCCAATTCTGATTGAGCAATAACTTTATCCAGTCATGTGAAGCAAATAATTCGTAGATAAATAGTAATTGTTAAGAGGGGCTGCTTGATTGTCTTAAAAAAATCGAATTACTCATTTTTGCTTCCGAAACAAGAGCATTGTAATCGTGCAGAAATAAGTTTTTGTTTTTTTGTGTTGGATTCATCCATTATGGTCCAAAAAATTCGAAAATGCAATTTTTATACCCTGTCCGTACGTATGTATGCATGTGTGTATGTATGTGACAAACGTTTTTTTCAATTTTTAAAATTTTTTTTGAATTGCGCGCGATTTGATCCATGCAATCAAGTAACTTTTTTTTTTAAATGTAGTCACTATCGAGCTCTATCCATCGACATTAAGGCCCGGGTGCAGGGATTTTTGCCTGACATGTCCCTAGCGAATTCCCTAGAAAAAAAGCGTTTTACGTGGAACTAAATGCCAGCCCCTGTAGACCCTCAAAAAATATAATGGTAGCCAGCGGTCAATCGACAGATAATTCTTTCTGCCGGGCCGGTAATTAGGTCTCAGGGGTGGGAAATTGAGGAATGAACCTGTAAATTACGTTCAAAGAAACCCCAGTAGTATGGGAACCACTTCGGCGCCCCCCACCCAGGGACACTATGGCCCCACCACCACACCTGCCGGAGTAGCACGGCTCCGACGTGTGTATGCGGTGGGGCCATAGCGTCGCACGGGCGCGCACCCCAACCCTGAGCGGTTTTGGGAGAACCGCTGGTCCCACGGCCGCGAAATTGAAATTTGGCGGTCAAAAATTTAGACCCCCTCCACTACATATCGTGTTAATCCCCCACCACTACATCTGCCGGAGTAGCACGGTTCCGACGTGTCTAAGCGGTGGGGTCATAGCGTTTTACGGGTGCGCCGCCCGGGCGCACACCCTATCCCCGAGCGGTTTTGGGGGAACCGCTGGTCCCTCGGTCGCGAAATTGAAATTTGGGGGTCAAAAATTTAGACCCCCTCCACTATATACAGTTTTAATTTCCCACCACCACACCGATCGAAATAACGCGGTTCCCGTGTGTACTGCGTATTCTAACCGCTGACCCCCAGGCTTGAACTAGTGATGGCGAGGAAAAAAAGTCGCGCGCGTATACCCCACGTAGGTCCTACCCCGACACGGCACTTGCCCAACGTCCCATTCTGCCCCTACACCCCCAATAAATATAATAATCATTCACCTTCCCTTACGCACGTTACTCTCCGCTCATCGGCACCAATCCGAAAAAAAAAGTCACTCATAACCTCTTCCTTGTCCACTAGTCACTAAACTTAACTTAACTTCGTACGTAGTCTTTTAAAAACACTGTTTGTCACTCAATCACATCCTCCTGGTCGTCATCCGACTCCCCGAACAACGACACCTCGGCCAACTCCTCGTCCTCGGCATCCCAGTCGTCCAGCTCGGCCCTCTCCGTGGCCAACCAGCTGGCCATCCGACGCTGGGAATATTCTCCTGGAGGGATACTCATTGGAAACAGAGCGTCCGTTTGCCACCAGCCTAGGTGAGGTGGACCACTTCGCACTCGATGACGGGTGTCATTCTCCAGGTGTTGGGTTGGAAACACTAGCTCGTGTTCCTCCCGGAGATGCCACTTTTTTTTTTTTTTTTTATAGAGGTTTTGGGGAACCTTGCATAGGTTCTAGGTCAGTCAAGGCCAGATCTCAGATTCTTACTGAGCAAGCCCCCTTTTTCTTCCTCTCGTCCCATTGTCCCTGATTCCCCCGCGGAACCGCCGGCAGGCATTATCTCGCGGGGGGAGACATCAGCGGCCCTGGTCCGCTCTCCCTGCAATCAGACAAGTTCGTCACTCACTCACCCTGCTAGCAGCGCTTGCTTCCCTTCTTTGGAGCTCATCGCTACGGAGCTCTCTCATTACCTCAGCCGCAAAGGCACTCGTGGCCTCCCAGGCATCAGCCTTCGAGATCATGACTGCGACCAACCTTCTGGGCGATGTTGGCCCGCCTATCCTCCCCTCCCAGCGCAAGCGGCCAGGTGTAAACCTCAGGCAGGAGAAGAAGACGTGTTCAGCGTCTTCGGTGACCCCTGGACAGACCGGGCAATCTGGCGAATCTTCATGCACAAATCTGTACAGATACTCCCGGAAACATCCATGACGCGAGAGCACCTGGGTGAGATGGGAATTCACATCACCATGCTGTCGGTCGATCCATATGCTCATATCCGGGATAAGGCGGTGAGTCCACCTTCCTTTCCGCGAGCCACTCCACTTGGCTTGCCAGCTGGCAATGCTTCTGCATCTAGCCCCAGCAGCCACCTCCGTCACAGCTGTGTCATCACTTTTGGGATGCATCACATGGTAGTCGCTCCCTCCGTCGGTATAAAAATCTTCGTTCCTCTGCCAGGATCTCAACCGGTAGAATCGCAGCGATGACCCCAATCGCGTCATCGGATACCGTGCGGTAGGCGCTGGCCACTCTGATTGCACTGAGTCTGTACCCCGCCGCCATCCTACGCCTGGTCACCTGGGTGTGAAGCGCCTCCGACCAAATGGCAATGCCATAGGTTAGCACCGATGTGCTCACTGATGCCAGCAGCGCTCTCCTTCGCTGGCTAGGTCCACCCGCGTTCGGCATCAATCTAGAGAGTGCCGCCTGAACACCAGAGGCCTTGGTAGTGGCGTGCTCCACTTGCTGCTTAAAATTGAGTCGGGCATCGATCATCACCCCCAAATACCGAATGTACGGCTTGGAAGTGAGCTAGAAGTCCCCGACTCGCAGCTTGATCGTCTCCAAGGTCCTCCTACCCGAGACCAGCACAGCCTCCGTCTTGTGTTCCGCCAGGGATAGCCCAACCGTTTCCATCCAGCGGTGAATCGATTCAAGGGCCCTCTTAAAGGCCAGGCGTATGTCGTCAAGGTGTTTACCGACGACCACCACCGCAACGTCATCCGCAAACGCCACCAGTGTCACTTCCGGGCGTAGGGCTACCCTCAGTAGACCATCGTACATCAAGTTCCATAGAAGCGGGCCCAGCACCGAGCCCTGTGGTACGCCCCCTGTGATCCTATACTTCTCAGGACCCTCACACATATCGTAGACAAGAGTTCTGTCGGTGAAGTAGTCTTCAACCACTCTCCGCAGCTACTCCGGTACGTCGAACCTGTCTAGTGCATCCACTATGCAGGACCATCTGGCGGAGTTAAATGCATTGCGGATGTCCAACGCCACCACCAGACAGTACTTTTTGCTGCCCCTGCGCCACCGAGCGTTTTAATTCGTTTTAATTCGCGAATGAAAGCCTTCAGGCCTGCTTTCCGCACCGAAAAGTTCTCTGTCACACGCAATATTGCCTCGCGGCCACCCTCAAGAGCGTTTTCGAATTCCTCCACTATCACCCCAACTGCTACAGGTTCGTTATTTATACGAAAATCCCACTTTCGCGTTGTAGAGTCAGCCTCACGTTGCTCAACTGTACACCCTCTTCTACGTAATCTCAAAGATCTTCTGTTAGGCGTCAAATCCATCAAATCTAGCCCGGGGAGAACAGGACACCACACAGCCAGATGAGTATCTAAATGATCGACATACGTGAAGACCCCTCCTAGTATCACGAGTTCCTCAATTTTGAGGTGTAAGCAAAAAATATGTGCATATTTTTTCTATCTTTCACTCCACGTGAACTGAAAAGTGATATACCTATGCATCATCACTCACGACAAAAAAAATCAAGACATCGAGAGGATGTATGAGGATTTGAATAGTGAAATACTAAAAGACAAAACACTGGACTTCGTGTATACATCCGTTTATTATAAAATCAGATTGAACCATGATGTATACATAATTACATTTCTTTGTATATGAATTCACATGGGTGATACGGACCCTCCAGAAAACGTATAGATAAACGGCCCTCTACAAGCAATGTCTTATGGTAGATGTATTCTTCGTGATCGTCCAAAAGTGCTGCAGATTCACGTGCAGGCAGGAAAACGTCGTGCTCAGCAGCCAGAGTAGCCACGATTCTTCTACCATATTTGGTGTTCACGCTTTTAAATGCATTAATCTGATAATCCACACCCAGGGTTAGATCATCAAGCCTTTTAACGGGGAGACTCTCGCATCGGGCGATTTTGTTGATACTTCGCTCAGTCATTTTTCGAAAGATCTTTTGTAATGAAAAAATGTACACAAACTGACGTCGTGAAATAGAAACAGACTTGTGAAGGAAACTCACAAATTGATTACATACCTCTATTTGCTCAAATCTTGCAGGAAACTCAACCATACATACACCAGAACCGTTGAAAGAATACTGACAATTCTTGAGAACCCTCAAATATATACTATTCTCACTGATCAGCCCCCCACAACGCAACCAATCCCATTGACGTGATTAAGAGATCAGCCAATAGTAGTAGTTACTTTGTCTGCCTTGATTCCTTAAAAATTTACGGATTTTGGTGTGAATCATAACAAAATGACACATGCCTGTAATTCTATCATGACTTTTTCCATCGTCTCCCGATTGCTGACCGTTGTAGCATGTGTTATAAAATTTGCAGTTTTGATCGCAGATAATGATTCATAAGAACACATAAGCGTGTAACTCTATCCGTGAATCTCCGATTGTGTGATTTTCAACGATTTTAAAAATGCTGACCATGCACCACGTCTTCCACAGTCGCAGTTTTATGTTTTGTGCTCGATCCGAAGATCATATTTATAAAACTGTCGCCTACTGCTGCTTATCAGATGTCTTATATTTGCGTCGATATTTGTTTGAGCGCGTCATTCTTCGTTTTACGGTTGAAAGGGAACATTATTCGAAACGATCGCAATGGATTGTAAAGATTACCGAAAAAATAGACTACACCTTTATTTCTGATTGCAACTGATTGAGTTCATTTGCGATAGAGTACAACCTTATCAGGAACTATTCTTCGATCAACGAACGAAATATTGGGATAGTTTATCACACGCAACATTAAACAGAATATTGGAGCGAATTGTTTGTCACACACCCTGACGAGTACTATCTCAGGCTTATCAACAGGGTTTCTTAACATCATCTAGAGCAATTTTGCGGGTGGTCACTCGTGCCCTTCAGTGTTCTCGCAAACAAGATGCGCGGTGTTTATCATCATTTTTAGAACATTCCAAGAGTAAGTATTCCATTTTCATTATCCCTTCGTGTATTTCTCACCATCAAAAACGATCCGCTGAGGATACCTTATTCACCGGCCCAATAAAAAGGAAGAGACACATACACCTCTTACCTAATGTTCGTTCATCCTCCCCGCAGCCGGGGCCTTCCGGCATGCAACATTATTCTGATACGGATAGCGATGATGATTCGTGGACGACTTATAGTGTCGCTGTAGAAAGAAGATTAGAATTGAGAGAAAGAAGAGAGGCACGGTACGATATGATCAGAAGAGTACGGATACCTGAGGCAGACCCTGCAGAAATGTATGAATGTGGTTCATGCTATTCTTCTGATAGTGATCAGGACTTATGCATTGACGGTATTGAGACGGAGGAGGCCAATTTGCTACGACGCTATCAAGTTAACTTAGACAGCTTCTCAGCAATCCGTGGTCTACGAGAAGATACTACTGAAGAGGGTCAAAACATTAGCGGTATGATTATATCTTGATTTATAGAGTATTTAAATCGTGTAACTTTTAGTTGCTCACATGAAAAATTACCTGGGTGTTATTTCTAGACGTTTCTGGGTATCGATACTATACTTACGAGAATGATGAAGAATAAACACTTATTAAACTTTTCAAAGGTGAGGCATTACACATTACAATTATAAGAAGTAACTTTACGACTCGTATTTATCGTAGATCACCAAATAGGAGGAGCAGTGACGAGATCTGCGGCAGAGGCTCAACGCCAAAATGTAGAAATTGGAGACAAAACGGATTCCTATGAGGATATACGACCCCCAGGACAGAGGTTTGAAATCATAGCTGAATCGTGTAAAAAATACCATAATTTTAAGATGAACGGTAAGGAATGCGTTATTAAGATATTGGACCCTCCTGCTAACACGAACATGATAGAGTGGGTAGAAGGAGCCTTTCGTGATTTAACAACCCATGTAACTGCGGCATGTCAGCCTCACGATCACGTCGGGTTTTCTATAAATTTCGATAGATTAAATCATGGACCTGTTTGGTCACGTTTTCGCGACGCGCGCAGTTGTAACGCTAATGATTTGTGGACCATCGTCAAAGGTATCTCGCAGAGTACAGGTGGTGTAACCACGTCCGATAATATTGTTGTTACAGCAGCAATAGTCAGCGGTGTCGAAGGTTCAGGACGAAAAAAACTCACGCACGAGGACATTTTCAAACGATCCGTTCTAACTATTTCGAACATTGACAATCTTTGCTTACCGCGTTCTTTAGTTGTTGCTCAGCTCCATGCTGAACGTGCAGAAATCCGGACGGGTGATGTACAGAGACGGTGGAAAGCAATTATTAATAAGACTCGTGACACTCAGCGAAAAGAAGCAGTGAAATTAATGCAGCTCAGTGGTGTCACGATACCTCGAAACGGAAGCGGAATCACACAGCTCCAGACATTTCAAAATCACTATCTTCAACGGAAGACAGCCATCGTAGTCTATGAATTTATAACTTTTGGCAAAGGCAATTTTATATTACGGGCGTACAAATCATTTCCAACCGATTCTCAACTTAGAAGGAGCTGTTGCCGGACGTGGCTTCTGTGAGCTGTGTAACAGAACATTCACAGATAACATTGAGCACCGATGTCCTGGTAAATGCCATAAGTGTACGGGTGGGACGATGTGCCAAAACCTGCAGCGTATAGTTTGCAATGTCTGTAGTCGATGGTTTTTCAAACGTCAAAGTCTTGAAAGGCATTTGAAGAAGGGCTCGGGAAAATTGAAAGGTAAAAATGCGCACATGAGTGTTTGTGATTCTCTTAAAGTATGTTAGCTATGTTTCAGAGTCATTCGCGTAGGGAAACAAAACAGAAAACACGAGTGCGGTATAGTATTCTGCCGAGCGTGCGGGTGTAACCGCGAAATAATTCACCATTGCTATATGCCTCCTTTGAAGACGCGTAAGCATCAAAGAACGATTTTCATATTTTACGATTTTGAGACACAGCAGAATATCACTGTCCGTGGAGATGCTGATACGAAATTACACATCCCTAGTTTTTGCGCTGTACAAAAAGTATGCACACAAGTTGTCACGACAATGACTTGGGTGAAAATTGTTCTAGCTGCGGGAAGCGCGAGTATGTCTTTCCGGATAAAGACACGGCAGTTGCAGGATTAGTGGATATTGCGTTTACCAAATATCGTTCCACTGATAAAGTAATTTGTATTGCACACAACGCGCGTAGCTTCGATGCGCAATTTCTTTTACGTTATCTAGTCAACATCAAAAGAACAAGTCTCCCGAGTGTTATCTTAACCGGTACAAAAATAATGCAAATTCGTGTCGGTAACATAACTTTTCTGGATAGTGTGAATTACTTTCAGATGCCATTGTCAGCATTACCCAATTACCCAAATATTTCCTACACTTCTTCAATGTGCCTGAAAATATTGATTACGTAGGACCGTTACCAAGCTTGTGTTATTTTTCTCCCGACACCATGTTCAAAAAAGATCGCGACAAATTATTGGAATGGCACAACGAAAAATCAAATGAGAATTATGTTTTCAATTTCAAACATGAGCTAGAATTTTACTGCAAAATGGATGTCACCATTCTGAGACGTGCATGTATAATTTGTCGTGAAATGCTGCTAAAAATGACAGGTATTTGTCCGTTCACCCAATGTAGCACTATCGCATCAATATGCTCGAAAGTTTATAGAACCAATTTCATGCGGGCTGATACAATCGGAATTTTACCATTGGGTGGTACGTACAGATACACAACCACACAGTCAAAGAAAGCTATATCGTGGTTATTGCTGCAGCAAAGACTTTCCGAAAACCGTATTATCCATGCCGGTAACGCTAAAGAATACCGCTTACCATGTGGTATTATCGTCGATGGGTATTGTGAGAATGGAAATCAGCAGAAGTGTGTCTTCCAATTTTACGGATGTTTCTGGCACGGGTGTACGGCGTGTTATAAAATAAACAGACATAGGGAGTTACGTGCAGGGGACTCACTTGATATCAGGTATGAAACCACCGTGCTGACGGCTAATAAGATTCGTCATCATGGGTATACTTTGATAGAAATGTGGGAATGCGTGTTCGACGACTAATTGAAAAACTCCGCACCAGACCGCGATTTTGTAAATAATCACACTTTGAAGAAAAATGCAGAATTGAACCCCCGTGAAGCGTTCTTTGGCGGTCGTACAGAAAATTATGTAACACTCTACGACACCACAAGCACCGAAAAAATCAAATAGCTTGATATCACATCTTTGTACCCTTTCGTCAGCAAAACTGGAAAATACCCTCTAGGACCCCCCCAAGTTTACGTAGATGACGATTGTCGGGCACTGACATGCTGTGATAGTAATCTTGATAACGTGGAGGGCCTTGTCAAATGCACCGTTGTCGCCCCGAGAGGTTTATATCTCCCCGTGCTTCCAATCCGTGCTCATGGGCGTTTAATGTTTCCGACAGATGAAGAGAAAGACGCCTATATACAAGAATATTCTGAGAAGGAAGGTGTCTTACTAGAGAAACACAAGATAGAGTCTAATCCCGGGTATAGAGCCTTAGCAAAAATGATTCTCAATGCATTCTGGGGTAAATTTAGTCAGACAGATAACTTACCGGAAACTGAAATCGTCGCGACACGACAACGGTTATTAGAAATGATAAACAATCCAGAATTGGTAATAACAGGGATGCTACCCGTCAACGAAAAAATGATGTATGTGAATTTTGTCTATGAAAACGAGTCACTTCCACCGACACCAACAGCTAACGTTGTTATTGCGGCCTATACAACCGCACAGGCCCGTCTCAAATTGTATAGCTACTTAGAGAGGCTCCAAGAGAGGGTTCTATATTGCGATACAGATTCCGTTATCTTTGTATCAAAAGACGGTGAATGGGAGCCAGAATGCGGTAAATTTCTCGGTGATTTGACAAATGAACTGGAATGTTATGGGGAAGGTAGTTATATCAAC